GGGGGGGGTCCCTGGGAGCATTCAGGGTCAAAAGGGAGTTAGGGGGTACCCTAGAGAGTGAGGGGGTGTTGCCATGGGGGGGGGTCTGTCACCTGGCAGGGTGGTGGGGGCCCTGAGGGCAAGGGGCCCCAGCAAGTGTTAGGGAGTTGCAGGGGGATGGGGGGGTCCCCCCTGGGGTGTCAGCTGGTGGGGTGGGGGCAGACAGCAAGGACAGGTGGGCCCACTGCCCCCCTCTAACCATTAGCCCTCACCACCTCCCAGGGAGCCCAGGCGTACTGGCCCCCTTCCCCTGATGTCAGCGGAGATGAGGTGGGGGGGCAGTGCGGGGGGGGGGGGGGGGGGGTGGTGTCCTGGGATTTGAACCTGGGTCCCTTCCATCCCTTCCCGCAGTAGGCTGTTATCCCACTGCCCGCAACTAGAGACTGCCCTTTGCCAGGTGGTCTGTCAGCCTGGGCCCCATGTGTGGTGCTGGCGTGGTGCCCATATGTGCCTAGCGTGTCCTGGGTGTGGGGGCGGGTGCATGTGTCAAGCATGGAGTTGGTGTTGCTGATGTGTGTGCTGGGCGCTTGGCCGTGTTGGCATGTTCCTTGCATGTCATGGGCCTGCCTGGCATGTTGTTGCCTGACACAGGCCTGCCACAAGTCCAGGTGTGGCCTTGGTGTGGAGTTCACATGGTCACCTGGCCAGGTGTGTTCCTGGGCCTGGCCCGCCCTCACCCATGGATAGGCCCAGCAGTGGGGATGGGGGCAAGGCCAGGGATCATGGTGCCTCTCAGAGCTGGGGCGAGAACCCAGGAGTCCGGGCTCTCCCCCAACCACTAGCCCGCTCTCCCCTCCCACAGGTGGGAGAGAACCCAGGAGTCCTGGCTCCAGCTCTCACCCCCCCGCTGTAACCACTAGACCCTACTGCCCACAGCCTGGCATCCAACTCTCCTCCCCCCTCAGACTGTCCTCCCCCCCACCTGCCCAATCTCCTCCTGTCTGCTCCCCCTAACCAGCCCCCCTACATGGCCCCTTCCCAACTAATCCCCCCAATAGCCCCTCCATGTTCCCTCCCCACCTTTCTTGGGGAATAGAATATGGGGAGGGGGGGGGGTGCTGGTTCTGATCCGGCCCTGGGGGGGCAGGTTGTTTCCTCCCCCCCCCCCCCCCCCAGAGGAACAGAGACAATTGGCTTTTTTCATTGATTTATTATTTACAAACGTAGAAAAAATCTTTCCTGAGAGAACAGGTCACCCATGGGCTCCCTGGTGAGGGGCTGCGGGTCGGGAGTGAGGGGCACCAGCAAAGCTGTGACGGGGGGTACCAGGGGCTGGGGAGTCGTCAGTTCTTAGCAGTTTGTGCTGCGAACGGGGACCATCCCCTTTGCTGGACTTTACCCAGACTCCTCTGCTCCCTCTTGCCCCAGCCAGTCTCCTATAATCCTCTGCTTCTTGGCATTGGCCATTCTCCCATGAGCCTCTGCTCCATGCTGGTGTTGGCTGACACCCCCCCCACACACTAATGCCATCTCCAGGTGTGTGTGGGGGGGTCCTCTTCTGCCACCCAACCGCAGTCAAGTCTTTGGCATTGCCCTGACCCCCCCAAGCAGGGCCGGCTCCAGGGTTTTGGCCGCCCCAAGCAGCCAAACAAAAACAAACAAACAAACAAAAAAGCCGGGATCGCAATCGCGATCTGCGGCGGCAATTCGGCGGGAGGTCCTTCGCTCCGAGCAGGAGTGAGGGACCGTCCGTCGAATTGCCGCTGAACAGCTGGACGTGCCGCCCCCCCTCCGGAGTGGCCGCCCCAAGCACCTGCTTGACAAGCTGTTGCCTGGAGCCGGCCCTGCCCCCAAGCAACTTTGGGGTCCCCGGAGTTGGGGGGTGAGGCCCGTCCACCCTCCATGAGTCCAGACCCTGAAATATAAATAATACAAAGATTCCCCCATATGAAGTGGGTCAGGGCTTTGGGGGGGCGGGAACTGGACTGGGGGCAGAGGTCACAGGTCAAGGGGCTTTTTGGTTGGGAGGGCAGGCCAGGAGGGGAAGCCCTTGGGTGGGGTCAAGGGTGAAGGTAACGGGGCTCCCAGGTCAAAGCGGGACAGACGGCAAAGGTCAAGGGGGAAACGGAGATCAGTTGTGGGAGGCTAAAGGTCAAGGCCAGGGCTCACGGTGTCATTGGCTTAGGGGGAACTAGCCAGGGGTCAGAGGCTGCAGTAGGACACTGGATGTGGGAGGGCCTTGGTCTGCGGTCACAATTGGTTTGGCTAGGGCCTTTGGGGTCAGAGGTCACATAGGGATCATTTGCTAGGAGGCTTTGGGACTGTCAGAGGTCAATGCACAGGGGTCAGAGGTGAGATGGGCCAAGTGGCAGGGGGTCAGAGGTCATGGGAAAGGGGCCAGTGGCCACACAGGGCTAATTGTCAGGGGTCAGAGGTCATGGGTTTATTTGGCACAGAGGACCCTGGGGAGGGGGTCAGAGGTCACCCAAGGATCATTGGCATCAGGGGGTCAGAGGTCAAAGGTCCTGGGGGTCAGGAGGGGGCCAGGGTGCTGAGCAGACTGGTGAAGCCCAGGGCCCGCCGGGAGAGCTCGGCCAGGCGCTCCTGGAGCAGGTGGGCGGCCGGGGCCGAGGGGTAGCTCAGCGCCGCCCCCTTGACCGACAGCACGGCCCCCTTGAGGGCCTGGCACAGGGCGCCGGCGGCCGCCCCTACCCGGGCCCGCAGGGGGGCTGAGGCCGCCTGGCGTGCCAGCGTGTCGCCCACGAAGACCAGCTTGTGCGCTGTGACCAGCACGAAGCGCCCGTGCGGCACGAAGACGCCCGGCGGCTGGTTGGCCCCGGCGCTGGCCAGCAGGGCCTCCGTGGCCGCCAGGAGGGTGGCGTAGTGCGTCCGGCACTGGCCCGCGTAGAACTGCAGCAGCTGGGCGTCCTCGGGGCTGGGAGGTACCTGGGAAGGGCAGGGGAGGGAGGGTGTCAGTGCTGGAAGGGGTCATCCTGCCCCAGGTTGGGGGGCGGGAGGACCCAGGAGTCTGGGAGGTGACCCCTCTCCCCTCCAGGAGATGAGACCAAGGAATCCGGGAATCTTGACACCCTCCATTCACCCACCACCCAGGAAGGACCTCACCCTTCTGAAAATGGGACCCAGGCATCCGAGAGAGCTTAACCCCCATCCACCACCAGGGAAAGGGACCCAGGCATCCGGGAAGGGACCACTCCTACCTCTTCCTCCTCCAGCAAAAGGGGGGTCTCTGGTTGGGGTCTGGGGCTGGTCGCCTCCTCTGGGGGGTCACAGTCTGTAGCTGGGGGCTGGAGCCTGTCTGTCCCCTGCAGGGGGCAGAAGTCGGATTTGGGGTCAGGGGTCAGAGGTCAGTGATTGTGGGACAGGGTTGACATGAGGGGTCAGGGAAGGAAGTGTCCGATTGGCATTTTGGGCAGGCTGAGGTTGAGGTCAGAGGTGAGGGACCCTGGGGCCAGATTGGCTTTGGGGTCAAGGTCAGAGACCTGTAGTCAGAGGTTGGGGGTCGGGGTCAGAGGTCAGGGTGGCATTGGGGTTAGAGGTTATTGGACAGAAAGCTGGGATGAGGCAGAGGTCACAGGTCAGGGATTGGGTAGCTGGGTGCAGGCTGGCGTTAGGGTCAGGGATCAGGTAGGCGGGATTGGGCTGGTATTAGGGAGGAGGTCAGACAGCCAGGCTTGGGTTGACGTCAGGACCAGGGTCAGAGGTTAGAGGTCAGGGATCGGGTAACCAGGATCAGGCTGGCATTAGGGAGGGGGTCAGAGGTCAGGCCTCGGGTAGCCAGGCTCAGGATGGTGTTATGGGTCAGAGGTCAGGTCTCAGAATGGTGTTAGGGGTCAGAGGTCAGGGCTCGGGTTGGTGTTAGGGGTCAGAGATCAGGCCTCGGGTAGCTGGGCTCAGGGTGGTGTTAGGGGTCAGAGGTCAGGTAGCCAGGCTCAGGGTGGTTTTAGGGTCAGAGGTCAAGGATTGGGTAGCTAGGTTCAGGTTTGTATTACGGGTCAGAGGTCAGGACTTGGGTAGCTGGGATTGGGTTGGTGTTAGGGGTGCGAGATCAGTGCTCGGGTTGGTGTTAGGGGTCAGAGATCAGGCCTCGGGTAGCCGGGCTCAGGGTGGTGTTAGGGGTCAGAGGTCAGGGCTCTGGCCGGCATCGAGGGCGGTGGTCCCGGCTCACCTTGAGGTGGACGTAGTCGTATTCCTCCGCCAGTCGGATCCCCTCGTATTCGCTGTGCCCATCCCCCGCCCCCTCGTCCGGCCCCCCAGCCAGCCCCCCCAGGCGGGGCGGGGGCGGGGGCAGCGGCCGGTCCTGAATGCTGCCCTTGCGGGGGGCGCCGGGCGAGGGCAGGGCGGGCAGGGGGCGGCGCGAGAGGCTCTCGGCTGAGGGCAGCCGGGGACGCCCGCCCGCACCCCCCGCCTCGCCCAGGCTCAGTCCCCCCAGGGCTGTCTCCGGCGGGGGGGGGCCCGGCAGGTCGTACTCCCCCCCTAGCAGCTCCTCAGGCGACTCGTACAGGTTGAGCAGGGCGGATACCCGGCACAGGTTGGAGGGGGTGGCGTAGACAGGGGCTGGTTCTTCCTCCCATCCCTCCTCCTCCTCTTCCTCCTCCTGGCCAGGGGGCAGCTTGGCCGGGGGGGGCACATTGTAGGGGTCGGCGTCCGGCTCTGCCGCCTGCTTGGGGAAGGGCGAGGGGGTGTCATAGGTGTCGGAGAGGGGGGCGTCCCGCAGGAGGGAGCAGGGGACATCATAGACCTGGGGGTGGGGGGGAAGAGAAGGTGAATCAAGGCTCAGACACTGGTCCCCCCCCCGTCTCCCCGCCCCTTTCCCAAGTTCCCCCTGCCCCCATTCTCACCTCACTGGGGTCCCTGTCTCTCCAGGTGGCACGGGGCACCTTGTAGATATCATCACAGGGAGTCGGGCACGGCCGGGTGGGTGGGGGCACCACATACACCTGGAGGGGGGGCAGAGAGAGGTCAGGACCTGGTCACCTGGGTCCTCAGGCCGAGCTGTAGAGGCGGGGGGCGGATCCCAGACACCTGGGTCCTCAGGCCAGCCTGTGGGGGCGGGGGGCGGACACCTGGGTCCTCAGGCCAGGCTGTGGCTGATGGGGTGGGGAGTGGTATGGGGGATCCCCAGGGGAGATTGTGTTGGAGGACCTTGAACGCCTGGGTTCCCTGGCTGGATGGGGGAGCAGGGTTCCCGGATGCCTGGGTTCTCACCTCCTGCTGCTCCTCCTTCTGCCCTGCGCTGCTCCTCCTCTGGCCCCGGGGCGGGTCGTAGAGGGCAGCTGGCGCGCTCTCCTTGCGGGGCGCCGGAGAGAGGTCGGGGGGCCCCGGCTCGGGCAGGATGCGGACACGGTTGGCTGGGACGATGCCCTGCTGCCCGTGCAGCGAGCAGAGGTGCCAGCCGGCCAGGCCGGGCACCTCGGGCTGCAGCACCAGCATCAGGTCCCCCCGGCGGAAGGAGAGCTCCTCCGGGCACTCGGCCACGTTGTCAAACAGCGCTCGGGCAAGCTGAGCCTGGGGGCAGAGGGAGCAGTGAACCCCCAGGGCCGGCCGGGAGAGAGGCCGGGGACCCCCAGGGCCGGCCGGGAGAGAGACCGGGGACCCCCATGGCCAGCCGGGAGAGA